CTCTTTATTGTCATCAATATAAAACGTTCTATAAAATTTAAGTTAATGAAGAAAAAATCCAACCACCTATCGCATATCTCGATAAGTAGCTAAAATAATTTCTTTTAACACTAAAAAAAGGCCTTTAAGATCACATGAATAATATTGGAGACAAATTTGAGAATCTTTTAGGTGTTAATACAAGTAAACATGAAGAAAGAAAAGTGTAAACAAAAGGGATTCAATCCTTCAATTAATTGTGTTATAAAAACATTGAAAAAAAATGAGGAATTTTTTTATGAATTATTAATAATTATTAAAGAAAAAAGCCAACAAGAAAAAGAGAGTATTATTACAAAAGGGGGTGCAAAATTAGGAAAAAGACAGACAAATACATGAGGCAATTAGGCATAAAGCAAAACATAACTTGAAAATTGACACATGGATGTTGTTTTCTCAACAAACCTAAGCCCTGGGTTTTACCGATATTTGTTTATCTGATGTTAATTTGATATAAAAAAATTTCAATCATATATTATTTTAAATATATCAGAAAGAAAGTTAACATTAAAAAATTACAAAATAAAAAAAAATAGATTAAAAATTAAATTAAGTGCAACAAATCTTTTTTTTTTTGGGTTTTCTTCTTCGGTAATTTACTTGGAATTTTAATTCAATGGGTAGAATTATTATGTACTACCTCATTTTTGGTTCCATTTTTCTCTAATCCAATTTATTTTTTTGTAATCATACAAATATTATATTATGATATTAAAATGAATTTTAAAGTCTTCTTTTTCTTTTGGTATAATCAAATATAGTTCACATATAATAAAACAATGAGAATTATTTATTAAAGTTAGATGGAGATAGGAAATTATTCCTTTTTTCCTCAAAATGGAAGCAGCTATATTTTCTTCATTTCTAGGTATTTTCAATTAGGCGTGGGTGTTCGGTATTTGATTTGAATTTTTTAAATTTTGAGTTTAATAATTCGATAATTGATATTTCAAAATAGCTAGCATTAATATCAAATTTTTTTCCAAAATTTTGGTTGGTGATTCGGAGGGTAAATTAAATTTCAATTTGGTACTGTAAGATATTTAATAATACGATATAGTTTACTGTATTACAAAGTTAATATTATTTCTCCAATTATTTCTATTTTTTTTATCTGGAGGCACGATATGATAGAATATCAATAAGTAAGAAGACAACAAGAAAAACAGATTGATACAACTAAAATGCATGTGTATTATGAGTAATGAATACGTTGATATATGATCTTCATTGAATAAATAATCTGGTTCAGAAATAAAAATATCAAATACAAAATGATACTAATGTCTCATACCAAATTCAAACTCAAACACCATATATAATTCTAAAATTTTATCCGTAAATACGATACTAAATATCAAATTACCGAATACCAAATTACTAAACTTTTTAACTCAATTCGATAATTTGATTTACGATATTCTATACCAGCCCTAAAGAGGGGAAATAAACTGTGTGCACACAACATTCTAATGGGCTACTATTATTAGAGTAACTTCTAAAAAGAAAAGTCTTAATGTAACTAATAAATTATTGTTATGTGATCGAAAAATTATATATTTAAATGATAATTTATAATAATATAGAATAAGAAAAAATGCTTATAATTCATTTTTTTTTATATATATATTTTATGTATAGCAAAACCATAATACATCGAATTGTTAACTATTATTAGAGATGTTGATAAACACTTTTTACATTCTTTTTCTCTTTTTGTTTGGTTATATGTGTTCTCATGAAATGTCAAGAAATAGGAAAAGACATGAAAAGAGGAAAAAATTATGCAAATAATTATATACTTTATTAATTTAGAGAAAATGACAAAAATGGTGCTTTATTTTTAAGCTGGGTTTAATTTCTACCCTAAAATAATTGCTACAATATGTTATAATGGAATATTATTATAACAAGTCTGACTATATGTAAAAGAAAGCAAAAGGCATTAATTTATATGAAAAATCAAAAAGCAAATCTTTCTATTAAATAAAAATTAAATTTAAATTTCAATATCTAGATAACACATGTTTGTAACTTTGTGTCTATAAATATTTTTACTTAAATATGACACGACAAATTATTTAATAATGCAATTTAAAATGATTCAATACGATATTTTTACTCCATTAAAATTTGTTTATTTAAAGAATCAAAACTATATTAAAAAAAAGTTGTTTACCAACCATAAGAAGGAAATGAAAAATATATTATTCGTACAACAACGCAAGCAAAGTGATACATAAGATAAATGATGAAAATTGAAAATTTAATATTATTTTATTTAATATTAGTTAATTTTAAAATTATTTTACTTTTAAATTTTAAATTAAAATAATAAAATTAATTATTTATATAAAATATTTCAAAAAAAATATTCTTATCTATTTTATTCCGCTTAATAAATGATTCCTTACGACTTGCTTACTGCAGCTGACATAATTCCATTCTTTGTTTCTGACCAATAGCAGCTCAAGGAATTCAATAATCTTTAAATAAGATTCAGATGAAGAAAAGATTTATTTAATATAATAAACGAAAAAAGCATATGAGTATGTTATTTAGAGCTGATATATCTCTATTATAAGTTATTTATATAAAAAATTAGAGATATATATGAACTACTTTTATAACAAAGATATATAAACTTTAAATAATAAAATTGAGGAATATATTGATCCTTCTCCCTATTATACAGGTTGAGATGGTATCAAGTAATTAAGAAAGTAAGGATACTGTATAACTAACTATTTTCGGTTCGAGTTTTTCTAAATACATAATTGTTTCTATTAGAAAAATAAAGTATTTTTTAATGTAAGATTTTTCGATACAAATTTAAAATATAACCGCTCATAGATAAGAAAATGAAGTTCTTGTTGTCCAGTGAGTTGAATATGAAAAATTTAATAGTAGGAAAGATGAATACACAAAGTTTCAGATGCAACTCAAATGCCTTTATGCCATAGGCTAAGCTAAAAAAATGAGAAACTAAAATAACTTTGACTTTTTAAATGGTTTACGTATTTCAACATATATCAAAGCAGACAAAGGTCTTATGATTGATCCATGAAAAGAGAATACACCCTAATAAAGGCAACCCAGACCTAGAGGGACGTATTCAGATTCTCTGATTTAAAATGAAAGAATACTTATCATTCCACCATAATCCTTGTTAGGTGAAAAAAGAATAAGACTTTTAAGTAAGAATGTGCATCGAGTCTCATTTCATCTATTACATTCTCAATAATCAATGAAAAAGATCAAACTCATATCAGAGAATATGTTTTTTCTAACAACTTAAACTTTTAAACGAGGTTCTGATCAAATCTTACCACCAGTCATTATCGAAAAAAATAAAATTCACATGCTTAGTCCGACTAAGAATTTCATGTGCATATCGAGACTTAAATAATAAAAATGTACTCTCTAAAAATTAGAGAAACTTTAAACAAAGTTAAGATCATAATTAAAGATGACCTTATCTCTCATATAATCCAAGCAAGTCTTGATCTACTAAATCCTCCTAAGTCCTAATTATTTCTTCGTCTTTAAATCCATATTTCGAGTTCAAGCTCTTTAAAATACGAAATTATTTTTATTAATTTTTTTTTATTCAAATATAAATTTATCTAACATAATTTTTTAAAAATCAATCTTGGTGAATAACAAACTCCATGTGAGAATAAAAAAAAGCAAGAAAAATCCAAAAAGAACACAAGTTTAGCATTATATTTTATATAATAAATTCCAATTCTAACCAATGAGTGAGAAAAGAATATAAAACAGTTTAATAAAAGAATTAAATAATTCTAACCAAACTAAAATAAATTAAAAAAAAAGAATATACAACAAGTTCAAAAAAGGGTGTCATTTTCTTGAACATAAACCTTAAAGAAAGATAAAGTGGATAGTGATAGAAAGCAAAAGCTACATAGAAAAAGAGAGTTGTATTTTGTATATATATATATATATATATATATATATATATATATATATATAT